ACTACTGTGGAGAAGAACCTGTATAAGCTGTTAGCAAACTCAACCTATGGCAAATTCGTTGAGACTGGACTGAAGCGAATGAAGGTGAAGTTCGCCAACACGTGGAATGAACGTGAGGCCATCATTCAGAAGCACGGATACGACATGATTGCTGGAACAACCATGTATTCCGAGAATCTGATCGGCATCAAGCTGAACACACCGGTGCGCAGGGTGGAGAAGCCGTTCTTCATCGGGTTCGCCATTCTCGACATGTCCAAACACATCATCTACGATTTCTACTACAACGTGCTCAAGAACACATTCGATAACGTGGAGTTGTTGGGACAGGACACGGATTCGCTCATCGTGCAACTGCACGATCGCGCTAACATCGTTCACAAGATGTGTGACATGTACAAATCATTCGACTTCTCGGAATTGGATAACACGAGCTACTTCTATGGAGAACTCGTGAAGTATTACGAGCATGAAGTGGACAAGAGCAAGTTCCCTTCATTGGAATCGTTCCTCAACTTCAACAAGAAGTTGCCTGGTCCCATCTTCAAGGATGAGCACAACGGACATCGTATCACAGAGTTCGTGGGACTAAGACCGAAGATGTACTGTCTGATTGATGAGAAACACGTCGTACACAACGCAGCAAAGGGAGTTCCTCGCAACGTCGTGATCGATGGAGAGAGGATGAGTGTGAAGAACATCGAACTATACAAGCGTGTCCTCGAGGCAGAGAAGAAGGAAGATGCAGTGATCGAAGGTACTTTCAAGCGTATCAACAACCAGGCCTTCAACATCAGCACGAAAGAACAAACCAAGACACTCATGACTTGCACGGACAACAAGAGATGGATCTTGGACGACAATGTGCATACACTGGCATTCGGGCATTATAGACTGAAGTAAAGGAAGCAATCTTTCACTTTGGACAACCATGGATACCATGGCCTACAATGGAAGTCAGGTTAACATTGCAGAAATTTGCCGAAATTGGCAGCCATGGGTTTCCGCGCGTTTCTTGTTATGGACATCGAGGTGAGCAGGTAGACAATGGCAGAAAATGGTGGAAATGGCAGTCATGGGTTTCCGCGCGTTTCTTGTTATGGACATCGAGGTGAGCAGGTAGACAATGGCAGAAAATGGCCGAAAAATGGTCGAAAAATGGTCGAAAAAAGTTCACCGCGGTTATTTGGTAGAAAATGGATTTTCGCGCATCTATCGCCTTTTCCCTACTACTATATATATATATATATGTTTCTATATCTGTATATGCATAGATTCCTACATATATTCAATTTCAAATATGGGGGTTTGATAAAAAGAATAATCCCAAAAATAGTTTTAATTTATGATTATTGTATTAGAACAATGACTACTAATAGTTTCTAATGCAATCATTGTTATTTGATTATTCTATTTTGATTCATTGAACGAGACATCTATAATGCAAGAAATACTGAATATTATAATAATCATACGTTACAAAATAGTCGTTCTCTTATTCCTTTTACCATTAATTGTTGTTTAGACATTATTTATCTATCTATAAATTATATATATATATACCATAGCTAAATCAATTATTTTTGTTTATATAGGCGTTTAGAGATGATTACAAACTAAATAGAACCGATTCGTTATCATCACCTTTTTTAGTGAAAAACATTTAAATCTGCTTAAAATAGTTACAATATTATCCAAGAAGAAAAACTGTGTGGTCTTTTACAATAGATCACTCTTCATTCATGATTCAGAATTGTTACAAGCAAATGTGATAAAATATCGAATTAGGGCCATTGACATTGAAACTTGATTGTTTGGAATGATCAGTGATAACCTGAATAATGATTTGAAGTTGTTCATTTCATATACAAAATGTAGATAAGGTATTTGTTTTTTGTCGTAAGCTAATATAATGCTAACTATTAATGAACGTAACAACGAATCCATTGTAGCAGAATCAATTAATAATACATTTCAAGTATAGTCTTATTCTATTTTGTGCACTATCCTCCGAATTCGATTCCATTCTCCACATTAGAAATAAAAATCATAATTTATTTATAAATTCAAAATGGCGAACCCTGATCTGTTAGGATATGCGAAAGCTGTATATATCTATGCTGTTATCGAGTGCATTTTATTCTGCATCTCTATCTTTGGATTGATATTCCTGTATTTCCCGATCATTGGAATGAGAATTTGTAAGAAATGGGATGTTAGTGAAGCGAAATGTGTAGGTTTTGTAAGATTGATATTATTGTAGTATTATATCTGGCATATTGTCAAGCTTGTAATCTGGTGTCTAGGAGTTGTTGGCGGAATTACCGATCTTAAGGTGTTGGCGGGAGCGCTTCCTGGTTTTCTGTTGCAATGCTGGATCTTTTATGTGACGAAAAAGACGTATGAATTGTTGGCCAAGGAATCTGATACTCCGGAGCAGCTGACACAGGGATATCAGAGCGCACACTGCAAGTGCATCTAACTTGAAGTACTTCAACAATAATAATAATGATGATGATGATAATGAGCATATAACTGCTTCACTATTTGTTCAAGCAAGCAATAACAGTCACAATTCTACAATTGTTGTGTTGAACTCATACAGCAGATACTATTTCGTATATCACAGATTTTATTTTTTTAGAACTGCAAAGAGTAAATGGGGCGTCTAGAACTGATTGAATGCGTCGAAAACAACGATAGCGATGGCATCTTGCGTTGTCTGGAAGCCGGGCATCCGATCGACGAATCAGAAGCAGTTTAGACTAAATTGATGAATAACTCGAAGGATGGGAAGACTGCGCTGCTTGTTGCTTGTACTCTTGGAAATATGGATATTGTTAAATTGCTCATTGAGAAGAATGCGAATGTCTTTGAAAAAGATTGTGTACTTCTTGTATTTCGTAAACATTTGTAGAATGACATGAATGCTGTGCTGTTTGCAGCGAGCAACAACTTTGTGGATTTAGTAGAGTATTTAATTGAGATTGGGGTGGATCCTAATGAAACGGACAAAGTATTGCTGGTAATAGTGCTATTACACTCTAGTCGGGTCGAAATGCTCTTCATATTGCTTGTGAGCACGGGTGTAACGAAACCGTCCAGTATTTTTTGCATAAGAAGCTGATAAAGAATCTGAATGCTAAAACCATGGTATTTTTATGGTCAGGTGGTAGTCCATTCTATTGTAGGATGGAAAAGATGCGTTACTTCTCAGTATTGATAGTGACTGCTCTGCTTCTTGTATCATGGAGCTCCTGGTTCAAGGTGCGAATGTAAAGACTCATACGACTGTTTTTACTCTATTCAAGGATTTTGATTCTATAGGACGGTCGGAATATCCTTATGGAAAGTATTCGTGTGAACAAGCCCCAGTTGTTCCACCTGTTTTACCGTTACTCCAATATCGACATAAACCAGATGGACCAGGTGTGTTGATTCGTTCGATGATTGATTGGCTTAGAAAAAGAACACGTGCATGCACCATGCTTGTTATGTGGGGGATGTGAATGTTATGAAGTCTCTTCTCCATCGTGGAGCCTTTGCTCGTGTGCTGAACAGCAGTGGTCAGCTTCCGATTCAGATTGCAAAAGAGAACGGCTTTGAAGACTGTGTAAAATTGCTGGAGCGAGTGAGCTCGCCTCCTTCGATGCCTGTGATCGATTCAATCCAGAAGAATCCACAGAACGACATGTCGCTGATTGTGACCTGGCATCGCGTGGAGAAGGAGAATTACTACCCCATGATCACCGCCGCTGAATTCCAGTTGAAGCAGCAAAAACTGTTCGACAGCTGGAAAACGATCGACACGATTCAGCTGGGAAAAACTCCCTTCGAGGAAACTGTGCCCAAGTCCTCCTACAGCTTTGCGGAAGGAGAGGCGACGGACGTGGAGGACGACGAGGACGAGGCTGTTCGAGCCCAAGTGGAGGGGATTTGCTCAGCGTTCGCAGATCAGTCTTCTGCGTTGGAACATCGCATCGAGCCCAATCGGCAAGAGAACCGAATTCAGAATTACTATGAGCTGATTGGGCTGAATCCACGCCAAGTCTATCAGATCCGCATGCGATGCGCTGACAAGTGCGGATGGAGCGAGTTTTCGCACGGCGTGGTGTTTTGTCCGAAGGACAGTAGGGTCTGAATGGAAACCGTGTGAATTCTAGTCGATAAGCGCTGGGATCGCACCGAAGCCATTCCTCTGATCAAGCTGCGAGCGTCGTTTATTCATATCAATCCGAGCAGTCAGAAGCACCAGGTGGACTGGAAGACGATTGATCAAAGCAACATGGAAACTCAGAAGCAGATTCCTGCCATGAACGGCGTGAAGTTGATGGAGCAAATCATCACCGGGGGTGTAGACGTTCTGCGACAAAAAGTCAGCGAGGGAACCGATCTGAAGACGCTTCGCAAAAAGAATGGAATGTCTATTCTGCAAGTGGCTGCTTCCACTGCGACCGACAGCGCGCTGGAGATCGTGAAAGAGATCATTCAAAACCGGTACATTGATGTGAATGATGTGAATGGAGTGGGTCCGGACGCTCTCTTTCAGTCGTAGGCTTGCACCTCGGCGCTTCATTACGCGGTCTACAACAACAACGGTCCAGTCGTTTCGTATTTGCTGGAGCACGGAGCCGATATCACGATGACGGACTCGGCAGGCATGACGCCCTTTCTGCTCGCCGCGAGTCGAGGCTATCTGCAGCTGTGCGGCATTTTGATGGACCACATGACCACCGAGCAAATCCAAGCGGTCGATAAGCATGGTCGCAACGCTTTGGTGCTGGCCATCAGCAACACGCACGTCCATGTCGCCTCCTATTTGATCACGAAAGGGTTCTCCAGCCAGTTTAAGTCGCCCGCTCCGCGCGAGTGGAACTTGCTGTTCTTTGCGATCTCCACGAAAAACGAGCCCACGGTGAAGTTCTGTCTGGAGCAGGGCATTTCCCCGCTTGAGACGTGCGGGGTTTTTGTGAATTCGCTCGATGATGACGTAGGACGGGATGGACGCGATCGAGTTTTCCAGCGAAAACGGCTCGAAGGCGATCACGAAGTTGCTGGAGCATTACTCAGATCCTGCGGATGTCGTGGAATCGGCGTCGATTCAAGCGAAACGGACGGAAGCGTACATCACAGTCGTGCTTCCAACCCTGCAAGAAGCTCACCCCTTGTTCACGATCTGCCGCGTGGAAGTGAACTACAAGAAGGCTGCGTTGCTGCAGTCGCCTCAATCGATGGTGATGGACATCGATGCCTCGCAGAAATCGGTGCGCGTTCCTCTGATTCAGCTCTCGCCGGCCACCACATATCGCTGCAAAATCCGACTGGCCAACAAGAATGGATGGGGAGAGTGGGAAAGCGGGTTCGATTTCACGACGCTGAGTCAAGAGCCGCAGCCCGCGCAGAATGAATCGCTGTCGGGCGATTATTTGGCGGTCACCGGAATGCAGAAAATCAACTACGAGACGCGCGAGACCAAAACGCAGGGCAACGTCCAGGTGAAAAACGCGATCGATTCGAACTCGGCGTCTTCGTTGCTCCAGTTAGCAGCGAACGAAGTGAGCACGGCGGTGTGTTCCTGCGGTCTGCCGGCGTTGCACTACGCGGTTTTGCAGTCGGAAGGCATGAAAGGCGATGCGGAAACGATGATCGACACGCTGCTGAGCATGGGCTGCTCGATCAGCCAGGCCGTGGACGCGGTCTCGCTCGTTCGCTTTCATCATCTGTAGCTGTCCTTCAGTGGATTGACTCCGATTGACTGCGCGTGCATGCTGTCCTCCACGGCGATTCTCGAATACCTCGAGAACTGCGGTGCGGATCTTCTCCACGGAGAAATCGAGGGGATTCCCGCGTGTGCGATGTACTCGCTGCTGGCTCCCAACACGAACGTTCTCGAATATCTGTTCCGGAAGGAGTACTTGACCGCGCAGCACATTTCTCCGCTGCTGTTCGCGTTGGCGAAGAGCCGAGCGAGCCGCGAAGAGGTCTTCGGCGAGTTTTTGATCCAGAAGGGAGCCGACATCAACGAAATGAACAGCGACGGCGATGGCTTGCTGCACATCGCGGTGATGCACAACAACCTCGCCTTCCTGGCGTTCGCTCTGTCCCACGGCGCGACGAGAGATCAGAAAAACGCCTCCGGACTCACCGCGCTCAGCGTACGTGCTCGATTCTTCCCTGATAGCCCAGTTGGCGCAGCAGAAAAATCAGCTGCTCTGCATGCAGCTCCTGATGAACAGTTACCGCGTCCCGCTCCCCGCGAGCGCCATTCAGCAATTCACGGTCGATGCGTCGCACGCGCTTTGGACCTGGGACTACTCTTCGCGTCTCTCCGGAATTCCGGCCGCGGACCAGTTCGACGTCGAGATCGTCGATCTTCTCTCGAACCAGGTTCTCTCGCTTCCCTGCTCGCTTCGACTGAATTGCAGACTTTCTCTTTTCGAGTAACGCACAGACGTTTTCCTCGAGGCCCCGCTTCCTTTGCATCGCTGGCTCCAGCTCCGCGTTCGCGCACACAACGAGAATGGATGGGGAGAGTGGGCGGAGTCGAGCCAAAACAAATTTGCGAAGCTGCCGGAAGCGTCGGAATCGCGTCGCAACTGTTTGGTTTGGGAGCGGATTCGATGTAGTTTTCGTGTGGCTGGCTTGCCATGGACTGGAGGAAGCGTTCGAGTGCTTGGTGCAGAAGGCGGTGGATTCGCCGGAGAAGTTCGCGGTGATGAATGAGAAGGCGATTGAGGGTAGAGAAGGGAGGAAGTTTTGTTTTGTAGAGCTGGCGATCGGGGCGGAGGCAAAGCGAAGAATGAAAAACTCGATGCGGACGATCGTCGATGAAGTGCTGAAGGGGGAAACCAATCCGATGGTTCGATCCGGATGCATGTTCATGTGGGAGCAGTGAAAAGGTGAAGATGGCATGCAAGAAAAGAGAAGGAGATGGTAATGGACGTTTGGAGTGAATCGGTTGTTTGTTTACAAATATTATGAAGTTTGGGAAAGGGAAGAGATTGATGAAAGGCAACATCAAGTGAAAAACAAACGAGAGAGAGAGAGTATAATACGGAAAAAGATATGGGTGTATGAATGCGAAATATCTCTTAATGAAAATGATGATTTGTTGTCTCAAATGAACTACAAATACAAAACTGTTGAATAGAGGATAAATAGTTTTTCAAACAATCATTAATCATGTCTTCGAGCATGGTAAACAAGTGCAGAAGTCGTTAGAATATAGGATGAAGAAAGCGATTCACATAAAATTAATGACGTTTTCAGCGATAGTGACGACTCTGCTGAATTAGACGTGTAAGAATGGAATAGTGGCAGATTATGAATAGGTCCGGCATTTCACATATAGTACGTTCTCGGCCAGCTGAAGTTTCAGCCTCAAACTATTTTCGGGTTTTTCAGAATGTAGCTCACGTTCCTGAAAAGGTAGAAAAGAGTAAGATGCAAAAATGTGTAGTTACGCCTCCTTCGACTTCCGGCTGCCTTTGGAATACAAGAGGTGCCCTATTCACAGGAAAAATATTCCGAAGCCGAAGAGTTGGCCCAGTTGGCAGAGAAAAAACGTTTAAGCAGAGCGGAAGCTCTAATTCGTTGGAGATGGAAGCGAGACAAGGACGGGAATCTGGTACTTACTTATCGAAGCATGATCATAAGATCCGCGATGGTACAGGAAAGCCCGTGAGAGAATCCAACGCTCGCATTGTTCGTTGGTCGGACGGAACGTACCAACTATACATAGGAAGTGAAAATGTAATCGATCTCCAGCTAAAAGACAACACGGAGAACCATCAGTATGTTGCATCGATCAATGTACTCATTCTCGTTCGATTGTGTTTTAGAAAGCCGAAAACACCGAAACAGAAAACGAAGGTACCTCCATCCATTCGATTCGATGCGTAGAGAGCTTCCTGCAGCTGCAGAGCCACTTGGATTCGCGCGTGGTGTTCGTGCCAAAGAAATTGGCGCCCGTGCCGAAGGAAGTGATGCAGCAGTCGAGCGAGGGACTGAATTATTTGATGAACGCGCCGGCGAAGACGGTAGGAGTGCGAAGGAGGAGTGAGGGACAGCGGTCGACGAAGGAACGGAGACAGCGAACGCGGAACCACGCGGTGCATTCGGGCGGATTGAGTCGAGACTTTATTACGGGGAATGGGTACGAAGATGAAGAGGACGATGAAGGAAATCTGTCGAAGATTAAGGCGAGCGCGAAGAGAGGCGACTGGAATGGAATGGGTGCGGATTGAGAGGTGTGTGATAGTTGTAGAGAATGAGGATGATTTCGATATGGAGGATTGGCTTGTTTGTTTGAAATAATAATAATAATAATAATAATGGGGTGGAGAGGAGGGGAATGAGGAGCTGGATGGAAACGTAGGAAGAGGGATCGCAAGCGGAGTGGAGAATAGAAATGGGATGGAGAATTTTAGAAAATACAAAAATCGCTTGATGTTCGTTGGATGGAATGAATCACAATGAACAATCTGACCCAGAGAGCATCCATTATCCCGTTCATAAGCTATCCATTCAAGTGATTTCTCATAGAACCCATCCCTTCTCGTTTATTACACACAAACAAACCATCTCAATTTCATTCAGGCGTAAGCCTTTTATAATCATCGCCACCAACTAAGCAACAGTTCTCTTCATCTAAGCGAGCAGACAAACCGATGATGCAGACCGAACTTCGCCGCAACCACTCGGTTCGATCCAAGCCTCTCCGTCAGCCTGAACAGGACACTCTCTGTCCAGCTTCCATTCAATCTTCCTGGCTCTCTTCAGAAGAATTCCCTTCCGCAATCCGAACTACAAATGAAGCTGCTTCTTCAACGCCACCTTGGCTGCAAGGATGTGAATAATTCCAGAAAACGCCACGATTTCGATTTCTTGATCGCAGCATTGCGAAAGATCGTAGTGATCGCCCAAAGGAAGACCTCCTCCGCAGTAGTAAGGAATGTTCAGGCACACGACCGAACGATATTGGGAGACGGAGAGCTCTTCATCGTCAGCCTTGAGAGCGAGGCGGTTCAGATTTGCATTCATCGGGAAGAGGGCTTCCAAAATAATGCACCAAGCGTACCAGAGATTGTTAATGGAGGGGAAGTGAAACAAAAAGGGGTAGAGCGATCGGATTTGTTGGAGTCGATTCACCACAGCAGCGTCCACTCCGAAACTGAAGTAATTGAAAAACGTTTTCTCTTGGGATGATTGAAACACCCACCGATCTAAAGACAATTCTACAAAGCAGGAAAGACGAAAAACGAACGTTTGGCCGCATTCACCCAATGCAAGAAATCGGGACAAGAAAGAGACTACGTAAATAAGATAAGAGAAAGTGAGAAGTACAGAGAGAGATGAAAGGTGGAAAGAACGGGCCAAATCGTTTCCGGTGCCTAGCGCGTAGACACAACAAGGAGGACAGGTTTGCCATCCAGCTTTGAGGATAGAGTCCAGTACCCAACTCACTGTTCCATGGCGTTAAGAATACAATTTCATCATAATAGTATTATTATTATTATGGATATATCACCACCACATATAATCACCTTGGTATTCTTTGACGGAGTCATAGAACGGATCGTTGAAACAAGATTTACTTTCAACACATTCACGCATACTATATTCGGATATTGCTTCATCAACTGTTGGACAATTGTGTTTCTGTAAAACCCTCCGGATTCAGGGTTATAAAACAAAATGAAAGGAGTATCGCCATCTAGAAATAAATCATCTAATGGATAAGGCTATTAACAACAAACTCTACTTGTTGGCAAAGCGGGGGCTCTTTTAAAATACTGCATGTAGACGACCAGCAGAATAATCAGCGATAAGATTACTGTCCGGAAAAGCGTTACTCCCTCAAATGCATAACTCTCATCAAACCACTCCAAATTAAACATCCAGTAGTCGCTCATTATTCCAAATTCAAAAGAGCCAAAAAGGAGATTTGGATTCCAACAAATTTGACTTTTTCCCATTCATAGTTATGCAGTTTAATTTAGATGGGCTGGATGTGTTGTTTCCGTCGTTCTTCACATAACCGCATTATTCATAGATATGAAAGCATTTATCCCGAGCAATATGAGTACATGCAGCAGCTGAAGCAAGTTCTTGAAACCAGTGAGCAGAAGGGACATGCACTTCTCGAAATGCCAACAGGAACTGGAAAAACGGTGTGCATCTTCGCTTTATATCTCGCAATGAAGCATTCTTACCCAGATTTAGGTTTATCACCATACTAATGCTTTATTGTGATAGGAAAATTGATATATTGTACTCGTACTATTGCTGAACTGAAACAATGCATGGAGGAGCTGAAGAGAGTTGTCGCATTTCGAAAGTCAAAACTGGAATATCGATACAGGAGTATTTTGGGAGTTTGTCTAAGTAGTCGTCGAAATCTGTGTATCCATCCCAAAATCGACTGTATCAATCCGGATACACGCGTAGACATATCCTCATTCAATTCAATATGCAATTGTGAGTGTTGCATTGCTAATTAGTTCCTTCATTGCAGGATGAATGCTTTCGGAGATGTCGGTACTCTGATAAGCATCCTCGCCAAGCTCCAGACATCGAGGATCTTGGCTGCGAATACTATGAAAAGTTTTCAAGGAACCAAAGAAGGCCTTCCATCGCGCCTGGCGTGTTTTTCTTGTTGTGTTTTGTTTGACATAGATACAATTTGAGCGATTTCCAGCAACGAAAAGACACGTGTCCCTACTTTTTTGCTCGGTCGTGTCTTGACGATGCAGATGTGATCGTGTTTAATTACCAGGTTGGCTGTTGGAACGCTGTGCAATGTAGTACGTACTGGATCCTTCGATTAGTCCTCTGATCCTTCCTCACATCAACAACCAAAACAACATTCTGCTCTTTGATGAAGGGCACAATATCGACGATGTTCTTTGCGAAAACTATTCTGTCACAATCCCCTCTTCGCATCTCAAAGAATCCTATTCCTTTCTCACCGAGTCCATCCTTTCTTTGGCTTTCATGTAGACTTTCTAAAGAATTCCAGAAGAGAGAGGCTGCTGTGAACTCGGTAAGCGTGGTCAAAACAGAGTTTGGAGGCAAGCAAATTATCCAAATGCCGAGAACGGAGCCTTCCTCGATGGTTTTGTTTCTCGCACTGCGTTCAAGTCTAGACGAAGGAGCAAGCGACGGAGGTGGAAGCGTTTATCCCTCTTCTAAAACTGATGGTGATGGCGATGCAGAACTGGAAGCAACCGGAAATCGTAAACGGACTTACCATCAACGAAGTTCGACTTATGATCTATCAAGTTTGCTGCTTTTGGGGTTGTGTTTGATTGTTCGCAGGAATGTCTCGTCGATTATTACGAGCTTCGCACGTTTTCGGGGCGGTTTCAGCGGCTGCTTTCTGTGTTTGAGAGCTCCGGCTATTCGCTGGCTCCTGAGAAGTAGCGCTGCTGTTTGCTCGTTGATGGATGCAGAGTGGCCAAGCTAAAGCGCATCATTCAGTTTTTCTCGCTCATCGGGGAATACGATCACGGCTTTTACATGCTTGTCAAGCCCCCCTTTGTCTCATCAAATCAATGGAACAAAAACTTTGTCGCGTCCCAGCGCGTGCTAAAACTCATCTGCTGCGATGCTGGCTATGTGATGCAGCCTCTTTTCACCGCATTTAAGCACATCATCATCACCAGCGGAACCCTCTCTTTAGATCTGTATCCTAAACTGCTCCAGTTCCATCCACTCGTCGCCAAGTCCATCTGCATCGACCGGAATTCGCATCTCTGCCCTGTCGTCGTCTCTCGCGGAAACGATCAGGTTTGGGCTTCGTTCTCTTCGCCATGTAGGGGCGAATGACCGTCACAAACGCGATGGAGGTTCCGGACACGAAGCCGTCGAGCTCCCTGTCTGCGAAGAGCGATGTGAAGCTTTCCAGCAAGTACACGCTTCGAGCCAACAATCAAGTCGCTGTGTCGTATGGTATCGTCTGTTTCCTTTCTTTTCCCACAAAGGGTCTTTGCTGGTGGAAATGGCTCGCGTGGTTCCTGACGGAATTATCTGCTTCTTCACGAGCTATTCGCACATATCCAACCCTTTTTTAATATGGAATCGTTGCGTTCTTAACGCCACTTGGAGCTGTTTCTGTGCGAATGGGACGCGCATGGCGTGATTCGGGACATTTACAACTACAAACTGCTTTACATTGAGAGTCGAGATATCAATGAGAGCAACGTCGCTGTCCAAAACTATCGAAAGTCGTGCGATGAAGGAAAGGGAGCCGTTTTGTTGTGCGTAGTTCGGGGACATATTTCAGAGGGAGTCCATTTTAACGATCATTATGGTCGATGCTGCATTCTGATGGGAGTTCCTTTCTTGTATCTTTGCGACCTTCATTCCAAATAGAAACACGCTGTCCAAGGAGCTCAATCAGAAGTGCGAATACCTTCGATATCAGTACGATGTGGATAAAAACGACTATCAAATTTGTGATGCGATTCGGCAAGTTTTTCATTCTTCATGTTTGTGATTGTTTTCTAGAGCGCTCAGTGCGTGGGAAGAACCATTCGAAATAAGAACGACTACTCGTTCGTGATCTTCGCGGACTATCGGTATGATTTGGTGGATCATTCGAGTCGACTTCCCGAGTGGATTCAGCAAGTATCGTTTTCGACACAATTCGATGTAGCAACTTCCTCCTGCCCACCACAATCTCTCGGTGGAGATGGCCGTGATCACAGCGCGCACGTTCTTTAAGAAGATGGCGAGGCACGACGCCGATACGCAGCCGCGCACCTTGACCGTTGAGACCCTTCCGCGCTACATTTACGAGCGCGGGCTTTATTCTGTTTGATGCAACAAACACACGATTCGATTCCTAGTTGTCGACGATCGCAGCACTCGCTTAAGCCTTCACGCCCTTGGGCTGCTGCTGCGTGATGCAGTGGATATTGCCTCCTCCTAAAATAACCTCGCGCGTGGGCACCATCACCACTTCGCGCTCCGGGAACACTTCCTGGAAGACTTTCCGAGCCATCTCGTCCTCCTTCACGCCAAAGCAAGGCGAAATGATCGCGCCGTTCGCGAAGTAAAAGTTCACGTAGGACGCCGGCAGGCGCTGATTCTCTTCGCGCTCGATCGTTCCCTCCTCCTGCGTCAGTCCCGCGAACTCCTCCTACAGATCACTTCTCGAACGCGCTCAAACGGGCGTGCGAATGATGTCCGAAGGGATGTGCAGCTTGTGGATCTTCAAGTGGCGACCCTTCGCATCCGTCGCGGCCTCCAGCAGCTTGTACGCGTGCTGACTGATGGGATACTGCGGATCCTTCTCGTCGTCTGTCCACGAGAGCAACACTTCGCCAGGGCGCGCGAAAACGCAGAAATTGTCGACGTGGCCGTTCGTATCCACATCGCCAAACAAACCGTTCGGGAGCCAGATCACCTTCTCCACTCCCAAGCCACGCTTCAGCTCCGCCTCGATCTGCTCCTTCGTCATCGAGGGGTTTCGGTTCGGGTTCAGCAGACATTCCTCCGTTGTCAGCAACGTTCCCTCGCCATCGAACGAAATCGAACCTCCCTCCAAAATCATGTTGTACTTGTAGTAGGGAACACGCTCGATGTTGCACATCTTGCCTGCTACCAGCAGGTCATCTTCCCAGTAATCGTAGCAGCCGCCATTCAGACCACCCCAAGAATTGAACAGCCAATTCGTTCCACGGACGACTCCCTCCTCGTTCTTCACGAAGATCGCTCCCGTGTCTCTGAACCAAGAATCGTTCATCGACATCTCCACCACACGAACATTCTTATCCAACAAAGAGCGCGCAACAGTGTAGAGCTCTTTCGGGGCGCAAACGGTTACAGGTTCGAAGCGTGCAATCGCATTAGCTACGTTGGCAAACACTTTCTGAGCCGGAGCGGCATTCTCTCTCCAGATATCGGGTCTCTAACAATTGCAAGCCAATAAATAGGGTCTACTTGAGGAAAACCCATCCACGTCTGCTCATGGACATCCCATTCAGCGGGAGCCTTAAAACCATCATCAGCTGCAAATCCAGGCAATACGGACATTGTTTCTACGAATCTGTGAAAAGGAGTAACTCCTTGTTCAAAATCGTGGGATCCCAACTGTTTCATAGAATAACATGGGACAATTATTTAGTTCTTGTAGAAATAATAGCAAACATGGAGAAAGCACATCTGAAACAAGTTCGGATAAGGAAACTGGAAAACAAAGTACCTCGAAACACGGTTCAGGTAAAAATAAAACAACGACATCCAAAACGGGAAATACCTCAAATTCTGATGATATCAAGATGAAGCAAAATGAATCAGTTACATCAGTTAAGGGAACTCAGGAAACAACTAATTCTACTGCGGAAATAAAGTCTCAATTGAATGAACAAGAGAATAAATTGGCAGAGGACGTGTCTTCTATACCAGCTGCTCAAATCCCTCCAAAGCCAGTTGTCACGAAACCTATTCGTCACTATGACTATATCTGTGAATTCCTGTTTGATGTTAAGGCAGTAGGCAATTCAGTTAATTTGGAATGTAGGATTTCTTGGACGAGAATCGATGCTTCATTGTATCTTTTGGTGAGAATACACATGGAAAGAAAATAGTGAGCCAGTCACCGATAGTTCAGACATACTCTCAAGATCAAGATTTGAACACGCTCACAAACTCTCAGATGGAAGACATTGTAAAGGACATCATTGGATCCGTTTGTTCTTTGATTTGATGTTGATATTCTAGTTCCCAGAAGCCGAAAATACTATCCAGATTGACTACGTGCAACTGTTTTTGTGTGGCAACATGCTTACAGGCAATTCTCTGTTTAAGGACGTAAGAATAATCGATATCTTCAATGTAGAACGCAATAAAAGAAACCGATGTCGTGAAAGTTATTGTTAGTTGTTTGTGATTTGTGATTTGCGATTTGCAATTTGCGATTTGTTTGCTTTCTGTAACAAACAAGAGTAAAATAAAAAGAACGATTTTCATCTTCTTCGGGATGGTCGCGGCTGATTCTTCTCTCTCCACAATCCCTTCTTCTTCAAATAACTCTCGCGATCCTTCTTATTCATCTGCTTGATCTTGTTCTTCTCCTTCTCCTTCAAGTCTTTCACGATCTGCTGTCGCGTCTTCACTTCATTGCGAGGCTCTGTCCGTAAAAGAAACTCACTCCTCTTCGCAGTGTTTAAGGATATGTTTTGCAGAATTCTTCGCTTTTTCCTTCTTTTCAAACCGTCTTCCACGAAGACTCGGCTTTTCTCTCGTTTCTTCGCCGATCTCTTGCTCGTTCAGCTTGTGACTCTCTCTCCACTTCTTGTACAACTCACCTCGTTTTCCCTGACTCTTCGACCGAATCAGCTGCCCGCTCTCGTTCCGCACATGCTTGTTGTCCTTCAACTCTCCCACCGTGCCTCGCACATATCTCTTCCGCTTGTTGTCCCATCGGACGATCCGCTTGTTCTTCGTAATCGTCTCCGCATCGTCTCCCAGCAATTCAAACAGAGCGTTGTTCGCAGCAGACGTCATTTTGGCCACATCGTCCTGCTCCACCTTCAAGAAATCGCTTTCTCCTTCGCGAATGACCGGCATTTCCGGGTTGATATAGAACTGCTCGTCTCGGTAACTCTTCTATTTCTCATTCGACACGATCGCTCGCACCTCTTCCGGCTCCTTCGGCTGCACGTTCTGCATCAGTTCCTTGATGTTGATCTGTTTCTGTCCCGAATTCTTCAGCATCGCTCGCATCTTCTTTGAGATTCGAGGCTTTCCTGCATCGGAAACGGAGGCGGGCGCTTCGAGATGTCCTTCGTTCTCAAACTCTCGCTCGTGCTCATTGAGATATTTCATTTCTTCTTCCTCCTTCTCTACAACTCAGCCTTTCTTCGAGTCGGCACGTTTCTGAACTTCCTTTTCCTGCGTTTGCTGGATCGACCACTGATGCATTCGTCGTTTCTTCTGCATAACCTACGTCTCATCCATCGCAATTTCTCCCACAGCCGCCTGCTCCTTGTTGTGCCGAATCTCCCAGATCGTAGCGGTTGGACGATACGCATGAACTTCCTTCCGAAACGAGTCCAGCTGGCTCTCCGAATCGGGGATGAACGATCGAAGCAGCGGGTGATACGCAGTCACATCGATCGATTCCACGCGATGGCGACTCTGCGAACTTGGCTTCGGCCTCGTCTTCTGATACATGTTGAATCTATTTCGCACGCTTTCTCCTCATCTACGCTTTCTGCATCGCATCCCACTGGCGGAAAAGCTCCTCGCTCCCCTCCGTCATCATTTTGATTTTGTGGATCTCTGGATCGATGATAGCCCGCGGGAAACATCCATAATTCACCTGCGTCGGTTTCATTTCGTCCCACGCGTATCTGCATCGCACCTCCCAACCAATTCTACCCCTCCGTCGCCGTTTCCAGCGGCTGATTTAAGAACAGCGCGACGTCCAGAATGTACGGAATCTCGGCCACCGTTGCGAACACGACGGATGTTCCCTCGCGGCCTCCTCGCGCGGTTCGGCCGGTTCGATGGACGTAGAGCTTCGGCGAGGTGGGACAATCGAAGTGGATCACCGTGTTCACAAGAGGAATATCGAGACCTCGCGCTGCGACGTCGGTGACCACCAGCACCGGCACTTTGTTATCGCGGAATTGTGCGAGATTCATGGTTCGCGCGGTCATCTACCGTCTCACTTCGGCTCGAAACTCACCTCCATCGTTCCGTAAATGCACACCGTGCTAATTCCGGTGTGGTTCAGAATGGACTACTTGGCACTTGGCTCGATTGGGTACGGTGATATACTCCGCGTGGAAGCGCGTAGCGACGAAGATGAGCACGCCTTGCACGTTGGGGATCACTCGATGCATCAGGAAGAGCAGCGCGGCTGTCTTCTCTTCCTACGATCGATTGAACGGGCAATTCGCACGGGACGAACAAGGAAAAACGTGCTGCAGAGATTTGGAGAGAGCTTGCTGTCGATGTCGAGGCGAACGATCTCTGGGTCGTGCAGTCCCGCGCGCGAGAACTCGAGGAGAATGGGAGGGAGTGTGGCAGAGACCAGCATCGATTGGCGATTCACTGGGAGTCGGCCTGTGATGTCGTTCAATTGGGGAGCGAAGCCCAGCTCAAAGAGCTGATCGGCTTCATCGTAGCAGATGTGATGAATGAAGGAAGCAGAAGTTTAGTGACAAATAATCACAATAGTAATAGCAACAATAGACATTACAACAACAATTACAACAACAACAATAGACATTACAAATATTACAACAATAGACATCACAATTATAACAACAGCAACTCTGAATAAAAAGATATGAATTGAACAGAGGATAGAGAAAAATCGGGCACCTCAAGAAGCATATGCATCAAACGACCGGGAGTCGCAAAAATAACGTCTGGATGCTTGGAAATCGATTCAAACTGAGACTCGATGGCTTCACCTCCCACTAGAATACAAGAACGAAGATTGGTGTAGTGAGACAATTTGTTAAACACACGGTAGGACTGATAGGCAAGTTCTCGAGTCGGAGAGAGAACGATACCACGCACTCCACCAGTCAGGTGGTGTTCTTTCAGCTTCTCCACCATTGGAATCAGAAAAGCCGCTGTCTTACCACTACCTATACAATCATCCCATTGAATACTCGTTTTACCTGTTCTTGCCATTACCACTACATCTTTTCCTTTCAGTGCCGTGGGAATAGTGGCTCTTTGAATAGGAGTGGGAATCTTAAATCCAAGTTTCACAATTCCCGCTAATACTGGTTTACTCACTCCCATCTTCTGAAATGTGCCGCTCTTTTTCGCACTCGATTTGGCAGTCCTATTAGAATTCATTAAAACATGCAAAACATACGAAGAAACCTTGGACGCAGCATCCAGCTCGTTGATGGCAGAATGATCGATTTCTTCAGTGTTAATCGTAGCTAGTTCTTTTTCCATTTCGTTCCCCTTTTCTTGCCCCTCTCTGGAAAATGAAGTGAGAAAGTGGTTGTTATCAACAAAGAGAATTCACAAATCTACTCTACAGATCGCTAGAGACGGACTACAGACTTTCGCAATTCCATCACCAAGTGCTTTTCGATAGAAAGAAACCGATTCATTGTCATCAGTCGATTGCTGAATTGCCCTCTCCTATCCATACTATCTGATTCTCAAACTGTACCTCGAGCGCGTTCGATCACTCACCACCTGCGTGATATAACTCCCCATCTTTTCCTTTATAGCGTCCAGCAAAAGGCTCCATCGATCTTCACTCCTGCTGACCTCACGTCCATCCGCAAGCTCGCTCTCACTCGAATGGAAATCGTTGCGTCGTAAGATTCGCAGCATTTCAAAAAACTTGTCGGGAATCGATTCCGCGTTGGGAACCAAACAGAATCGTTCATACAAATGGAGGTTTGCTTTGTGAAGCCTCTCTGCCTTTTCCTATGATTCAGAAACGCGTTTTCTCTGTTCCTACATCAAAGAAAGGATCGTCTTCTTTCAACTCAAGATTCCATAGAACGCAATCTCCTTTCATCGCGAGCAGCAATTCGCCCTTTGATCTACTCACAGCAAACCAGAAATATTCTACAGAAGCATATACCAATTCGGAAATCCTTGTCGGATCATCCAATCCGAGCTGAATTCCGTCGACTCGCTGCTTACAACCACCACATTTCCTTCTTTTTCTTCTTCCTTTTCGATTCGCAAAAACTCGCCTGCCTTTTGGAAAATGCTGTTATGGGCGAATACGAGAGGCGGAATCAGCAGTGTTTCGCCATCCACAACCAAGCTTTTCCCTCGCACCAGAAGCTCTGCCCACTACCATTCATTATCTCGTCCAATCCAAACCAAAAAGCGAGGATACGTGACCAAGGATGAAGTGAAAAGCTTTTGAAGATGCTTGTGAGACTGAATGAGAGCGCAACTCGCTTCGAATTCTCTGTGCAACGTCGCATTGAGTGCAGATACTTCGTCGAGCAGCGCACTGCCATACAAGTGGAGAAGATCGTCTTTCGAGAGGAGAACCGGATGATGGAATTCTTCGATCGATGGGAGTTTCGCTAAGAAGGGAGCAAACAAAGACCATCTTTCGTTATCGAATTTCTCCCAGAGAAGAGTCAATGCGATAAGAGCGTATTCTGAGAGTTGATTCTGGTGATAGAAGGCAGAGAACGCTTTCCCAAAGCGTGGGTGAGTGAGTGCTGTGTGAAGACCGATGACAGTATCGTTGTGGATTCGCAGCACTTCCTCTCCCTTTTGAATGGCTTCCTTGGCTATCACGCCTAATCCTCCCCAAGGAGTGCTTCCGATGCTGATCTTGGTATTCTCGCTGTGTTCTTTCACCCAATCATTCAAGCGAAGTAGTGGCTAGCAATGAATTCGATTCGAAACAGGGACTTCATTGAGTGTAGGTTGTGGGGAGGATTGCGAGGAAGAGGACTGCACAGACTGAGGATTCAATTGCTCCGTTTTCAGATTGCTCATCATCAATTGAATCAAATGCTTGCGCGAAATACGCCATCGCAAGGCAAGCTTGGACGCAGCGGACAGCCGATCTCTTTCCATGTGCAACTTCCACTAGAAATCACAATCAGTTCCACGTGGCTACGTTATCCGCAGCAATACTGGTAGAATACACACTTTCCACCCACTTCAAATGGTCGAACAGTTTGCTTTTCAATTCCTCCTTTCCATCGTCCCATATTTGCTTCGCTTTGTCTCCCCTCTCCCCCGTAGCACATTCATACACATCCATTGCTTCCCATCGGCCCTTCTGCTTCGAACTCACACGCGTTTCGTATAGATCGATGCATTTCTGAAGCTGGTCTTCGTCGGCCTCTCGCAGCAAAAAGAAAGAAAGCGCTTTGTCGTTCAGAAAGCGAGTCACATCCAAACACACGGAATCGTCCGTCGGATATCCCAGCGCTTTGAACACTCTCGATAAGCGCGGAGAAGGTGTGTGCGATGGGAGAGGAATCAACAAACAGTCGTGAATGTTGCTGATCGGAACGAATCCAAAGTGCTGCAAATAGTAGTGGGAAGGAAAAGCTTCATAATCTAAATACACTTGCCGACCTCGTTTCACACGCTTATCGGTGACAACTCGAAGCTGGTTCTGCTCGTTTATTATGAAATGGGTTCGTTCATGCGAACGATCGACTGCTTCGAAGGGCTTCCAATGAATCGAAAATCATTCAATTACAGAATCCGTGGAAATGAAATTGCGATAATCCATCAAGGGAATCAATAGCCGATTCTCGGTCACAGTCCGCGTGATGACCATTGTGTAGCCCCATTCAAATCCGGAATAACTACAAGCCCAAAGCCGATCTCGGAAGGGAGCATCGACTTGCAGGAAATAGGTGCACATGTGCCGAGTGAAAGCAAAATAGGTGCTATAATAGTCACTTCGCTGAATGTTCAGTCGCTGAATGATCGCCGGATCTTCGAATTCCTTGATTTCGGATTGGGTGAATGATGAAGGGACCGTGGGATGCTTTGGGAGTGTCTGAGAAACAAGAGAAGGGAGAAGGGAGAACTTGAAGCCAGGGATACCACCGGGAAGCACGACCCTTGATTCTTTCTTGAATCAAGAACGCCGCTAGCATCAAATCGTCACTCATTGCAAGAAAAAGATTCTTTTCCGACTCGGGCACTGATTTTAACACTGTCGATGGATATCTATGCACGAGAATCAGGGAAAGTGAAATACATGACGTCATCCAAGTCCAACTCGATAAGTGTGCTGTTTGGCTTGATCTCCTCGACTGCAACAAGACCTAATTTGTAGTCAAACTCCAAAACTACCTCGATCCATGCCAGAAAAGTCAGAAATCTTGATTGGCGCGACATGAGCTGCAAATCAGACTAAAAATGTGTCAGTACCCCTCTGATGAACCCATTTTTCAAAATTCCGAATCTCTGTCGAGTTTGAGAATAGCGTGTCAGAACCTGTTTGCGGCTCGCCCGAAAAGAACACATAAATCACCGCAGCCACGAGAAGAGCAACAAGATCCATGGTATTCAACAAACACAGACATCTAATGAAAACAAGCAGTCATAAACCCAGTCACTTTCTGAACGTCTCGGTCCTTCACCGAGCAGTTGCACGCATAGACCTTGCACGGAGCATCCTTCTCGAACGAGAACTTCTGCCCCTCGACTCCCAGCTTGTTCACACTTTGCTCGCCGACTGTTTCCACGCTTCCCCGGCTTTCCTTGATCAGATCGCTACAGACAAGCAGATTCAATAACGATACAGCTCGTTCTCGATGCGATCGAACACAGATTGGTTGTCTTCGCAGCCGCTCAGGTCTGACTTGTTTACAGCAAGGAGGAGCGGGCAGGGGTGCGAAACAAACGACGGGTTTACGAAAATATCGTAGAGAAATCTGAGAGAAAAGACACCCACAGAAGGATACTCGGCGACTTCCTTCTCGCTGTAGTGCGAGCCGTCGAGCATGAAGACGATTCCGGATGTGTGAGAAAAGTATTTCTCAAGCTGGCTACGTAGATTAAAGAATCCGCACCAAAACACACTTGCGAACAGAAGGATGGCCAGGGAAGTCCACAATCTTCCCGAGAACCTTTTGGGATTCCTTCTCGTTCGATTCGGCGCACGAAAAGGACGCGACGTTCTCCTTCATCGAGGTTACTGTTTGGGGGACCTGTTCCTGCGTTGTCTATGTGCCAGAATGCATTGCTGCTTTACCAGATAAAAGAACGAGGTTTTTCCACTGTCGCAAGGACCGAGAAGAAGAATCGTATCTCCATGGATCGTCTGCGCTCTCCTTCCTCTTGTCTTCCAGAATACGCGAGCTACGGTAATGAGATTTTTCTGCAAAGCAGGTACCAGCGATAAGCGCTACGAGAAGTAAGTAGCCGGCAGTCAAAACGATCATCAATGCGATTCCGAAAGCTTGTTGCTAGTGGATCAAGCGATTTTTCAAGCGATACATCGGTTACATGAAAGAAGGAAGCAATCTTGAATTGAAAGTAGTAGAAATAGGTCAGTATGGAAGTTGGCAGATTGTCGTACTGCAAGTAGAGAGAAGACATCGTACTCAAAAGTATACAAATAATATATATGTATATATATATATGTAGTAATGAATGCTTCTGAAGAAAGGTTTGAAAACAACAATAATATTAGCAACAGCAAGTCGCTTGAGCTTGTCAAACAAAAAGGCAAAAGAAACGAAATCTACTATTTACAAAAGAACAGTGAACTCGTTTGGTCACTGACGGATTTAAGAGCGGTCCACCTTGGCCATGTACTGGATGAGGTCGACCATACGGTTGGAGTATCCCCACTCGTTATCGTACCAGGAGACGAGCTTGACGAAGTGCTCATTGAGGGCAATTCCCGCCTTGGCATCGAAGACCGAGGAGTAGGGGCAGGTGAGGAGATCGCGAGAGACGATATCGTAATCGACGTATCCCATGATTCCCTTCAGATAGGTCTCGGAAGCCTCCTTCACGGCAGCCTTGATCTGCTCGTAGGTGGCGGGCTTGCTGAGCGTGCAGGTCAGATCCACCACGGAGACATCCTCGGTGGGGACACGGAAGGACATTCCGGTCAGCTTACCGTTCAGCTCGGGAATGACCTTGCCCACAGCCTTCGCGGCACCCGTGGACGAGGGAATGATGTTGAAGCAGGCCGAGCGACCACCTCTCCAGTCCTTCTTGGAAGGTCCGTCGAGCACCTTCTGGGTGGAGGTGACGGCGTGCACCGTGGTCATCAGACCCTCCTTCAGACCGAACTTGTCGTTGATGATCTTCGCCAGAGGCGCCAGGCAGTTCGTCGTGCACGAGGCGTTCGACACCACCTTCAGGTCCTTCGTGTAGGAAGTGTTGTTCACTCCCATCACGAACATCGGAGCGTCCTTCGACGGCGCAGAGATCACCACCTTCTTCGCGCCACCCTCCAGGTGCTGAGCAGCCTTCTCCTGGGCCGTGAACACACCCGTCGACTCCACGATGTACTCCGCACCCGCAGCGCCCCACTGGATCTTCTTCGGATCCATCTCGTTGGACACCACAATGCGGCGACCGTTCACGATGATCGCGTCCTTCTCCGCCTTCACCGTTCCCTGGAACGGACCGTGGGTCGAATCGTGCAGGATCATGTACTCCATGTAGTCGGGAGTGATGAACGGATCGTTGATCGCAACCACGTTCACCAGAGGGTTCGGCTGCGAGGCACGGAACACCAGACGACCAATACGACCGAAACCGTTGATACCCACGTTCACCGGACCAGCGTTCTTCACCGTCGAGTTCGCGTTGATGATGTTCACGAACTCGGGCTTCAGCGAAGCTCCGCCCACCAGGAAGCCGTCGATATCGGCCTGCTTGCCCAGCTCGTTGCAGTTCTTCGCGTTCACAGAACCTCCGTAGATGATGCGCACCTTATCGGCAACAGCACCGCTCACGTTCTCACGCAGCCACTTACGCAGAATGGCGTGCACCTCCTCCGCCTGAGCAGGGGTCGCCACCTTGCCAGTACCAATCGCCCAGATGGGCTCGTACGCAATCACCGCGTCATCCCAGTTCTTGATCGCGTCGGCGTACGCCTTCAGCTGGCGAGTCACCACCTCAGCGAAGCGGCCAGACTCACGCTCCTGCAGGGACTCTCCCAGGCAGCAGATCACCTTCAGCCCGTTCTTCTGAGCATAGGCAGCCTTCGTAGCAACCTCAGCATCCGACTCACCCTTGCCGCGGCGCTCAGAGTGACCCACGATCGCCCAACCGACCTTCAGATCCTTCAGCATCTCAGCAGAGGTCTCGCCGGTGAACGCACCGTTGCCCTGGCTCCACACATCCTGAGCAGCCACCTGCACATCGGGGCGCACAGTCGAGACGGTATCACGCAGGTAAGCGGTGGGAGGGGCAATCACCACCTCCGCATCGCTGTTCAGGTTGGAGGCGTTCAGGGTCGAAACGATCTCCTGCACCTTGGCAATAGATCCATTGCACTTCCAGTTTCCTCCCACGAACAGCTTACGGGCAGCAGTTCCAAAGTTACGAGCAACAATAGCAGAACGAGTGAACATTATTTACAATAAATAAGAAAATTTGAGTATGAGGGTTTAGATTCCAGGCGCAATTGATTGGTCCCCCTGATCGCATGTCGTCCCTCAGAGAAGTATATGATTTCCGCCTTCTTCTCTTACGTCATACGCCATACACCATTCCTATCGCTTCCTAAGTGATTGGTGAAATCGATGCGAAATCTAGGATTGCTGTCTGCGTGTAGGAGATTCACTGGAATCGGCTCGTGCTTGTTTTCTACGAATGTCTTCTTTGTTTAGCAAACGTGCGCTTGTTTCTTCTAATTCTTGCTTTCTCCCTAAGGTGGGGAGATTGTTGACACGATAGAAAGACACTGGAGTTGAACCCCGTTGTGTAGGGGACAGTTGACTAGGAGATAGGATCCTGACAGTTTGAACCGTGAATAGAAGGAAATCCACTCTTACTCACTTGGCTCGATTTGACCAAACGTTGTCATTGTTGATTCTTTGTCGTTCTCTGGTCTTCGTTTATCGTACAATGGGCGATGTTGATGATAGCAATGCGGGATTTGCTGCATTACAGGGAAAGGAAAACTGTGTGTATTTCTTGGTTTGGATAATACCAGTGGGTGGTGGGATCGGTCAGTATTGTTGTGAAAAAGAGAGAATGTGATTATTTGGGTTTTGACAGGTTAGTAATGTATTTTCAGTGAGGAATATGATGGAAGCGTTTTGGCGAAGGTGTAGTGCAGAGGGATCGTGTGGGTATGTAGAATGGATGTTTGTAGTTGATTGTTGTTGCAGTTGTGGTGGTAGTGGTGAATGCAGTTATGACTATGTCGCTGCTGCTATTCATCTCATGTTTAATTCTGCAAGAAAACGATATAGTCATAGCAGACTATGGATAGAAGGTACTGAACATGGAATTGATATGATAAAGAAATCAATTCCTTTTTCACTGGGGCGAAAGGAAAAGAAAAACAAGAAGGAACGTCAACATGGGTTATTGGAATGCTACATCTCCCATTCTAGTAATTCCAGATCGAATTTATGAGTTTAAACAGAAAACTGAAGCTTGATAGAGCGAAACAGAAGCAATTCCTTGTATCACAACCAAGAATAAGGAAAGAAATAACTCTCTTTAAGTCTGTGAATAGTGTGAGTAAGGTAGGAAGGAATCAAGTAAGTATTCATCAGTGATGTTTAAAGTACCCTACGAAACCATTGAAAACATCGCTCCATTTGCTAAAGCTACTCTATCGTCTTCATAACTCTACATCCAAATACCATATTGCTTCAACATCGTAAATATTCCCATAAACAAACAATCAGAAACAAAGAAACAAACTATTCCTTGTTAAGCACCTTAATACCTTCCTTAGAAGCAACTATTACCTATTCATCAGTCTCGACTCCATACCAAGTCCTACACTATGCGCCATATCAATAAAAAGACCATGATCCACCACTCCCGTTATCAACTTCAACTCCTTATCCATCTCCTTAGGATTCGAAATACCCTCAGGGAAGCGCAGATCGATAATGTAATTTCCATTATCCGTAACCAGTCTACACTCACAACAAGCCACGCTACACATACGGTTTAGAAGCATCCTCCTTGCTAGGACGGAGAACGGCTTCACCATACTTGCTCAAACGTTTCTGGGTCTGCTTCCAGCCAAAGGGAGTGATCTCCACAGGAACCGCATCCTTGGTTCCCAGCTTGGACACAATTTTGCTCTCATCCACGATCACAATAAACTTAGAGGTCAGAATCTCGGTGCTCTTTTCGCGCAACAGAGCAGCGCCCTTCCCCTTAATCAACTGAAGATCAGGATCCACCTCATCGGCTCCATCAATAGCAAGGTCAATAGAATCCACACTGTCAATATCAGTCATTGGAATATTCAGAGAGCGTGCCTACAAAATCATCACTGCTCCAAAATCCAGACATGCGTATCGGTTTCAATAGACGTTGCTACTCCCACAATATCCTTCAAAATCC